CAAATATCGAAAGATAATGAAAGAGCTGTCTGACGTGTTCTCGAATTATCTTGTATTATTTCTTTTTTTTTTTCTTTTGCGTTTTTGTTTTTAAACGATATTTGTTGTTTTAGTAAACACACGCGGTTTCTTTTGCTTCTAATATTTCTAATGTCAATTCGAATTATTACAAAGATAATATAATTAATTGAATTAAATTTAAATTTCTAAAGGAAACAAAAAAAAAAGAATATTTTTTCTTCCTGAACCGGAAAAATTACAAAATTTCGCGAACGATTTATTTATTTTTATTTCTTTTTCTTTCTTTCTTTCTTTTATTGTCAAACAAATAGTATAAAGATGTTCGTATAGAAACATATTTATACGTCGAAATATTTTCTTTTTTACATTATAGTTTTCTAAAAATTACGATTCTTTCATTTTCTTTATATTTCATTCCATAGAACAATTTTCCGGAATAAACAAAAATAAACAAAAGAAAAAAACACTTTACACATTCAAGATTAGACACTTGTGGGCAGCTAGCTTCTCTGCCATCATTTTCTTTCTCTTTTATTTCTCTCTTTTTCTCTTTCTCTCTTTGTTCTTTTACATTGCAAAGATTTATAATGTCAGGCATTTTAATACATAAATCATGTGTGTGAGATATACTAATAAAATATCAATTAAATATAATAATAAATTTGTTTCTTTTTTTTTTTTTTCGTGTGTCTCAATAGGAAAAGTTTAATAACTAGTGAAGACATATATATATATTTATATATAATATTTATACATATATGCATACATACATACATACATACATGCATACATATATACATACACATATATGTATATACACATATATAATTATTGTTTTTTTTTTGTTCAATACATTAGATTTTACTTCTTCATTATGAAAAATAACAAGTTTTTTATACCTTTTCTCTTTCCTTCCTTCTTACGTTTTTTTTTTTTCTTTTACATATTTCTCATTTAATAAAAAAGTGTGTTAGCTAATAGATTGCACTTTGTGAACATTTTTAAAAATTTGTGTGATTTACGTTAGGAGAGACTATACGTACATATATTTATACATATGTATATGTATATTTAGAGAGAGATTTTCTTTATATATATATATATTTTTTTTTTTTGTTTTTTTAAATATATCCCGATTGTTTTTTCTCGTACAGTCGTCTGAAACATTTTCCTAATATGCAAGTGTAAAGAAATTAATCGTAAATATTCAAGGTTTTTCATATTCAATATGTTTTTTTTCTATATAATCCTTATTTTTCATTTTTTTTATTATACACAATAATAAAAGGTCACTTTCCCATGAATAAACCCTGCTTGATATTCCATCAATTTTTATAATCCATGGATTATAATATACCCCATTACAGATATCAGACCATGTACTACATAAGATTTTTCTCTTTCTATCTCTATCTCTCTCCCTCTCTCTCTCTCTCTCTCTTCCTAACACATAGCAACAATTAATATTGCACAAAACATATCTTTCAGGAAAGCACCCTAACAGGAGGGCCACAATTGGTGCCAGGCACTATTCATTCTCATATATATACCTGCATATTCCATATTTTTAAATAGTTATAATTATCAAATACAACTTGTTTTATTATTATTATTATTATTATTACTA